GTTGTTTGTCTTTCATTTATATTTGTCAGTTCTATACTTTTCTATGCACCTTTCTCATTTGTGGGGCGTGGCAAAGTAAATTGATTTATTATACATCATATTAATTTGTAGTTGTGGTTCTGGCAATTTTCAGGTACTTTTCTTTTCAACAATGACAAGGCTTCTTGATATTATGGAAGAGTATCTCACCGCAAAACAGTACCGATACCTTCGACTGGATGGTCATACCTCTGGTGGCGACCGTGGTGCACTTATTGATATGTTCAACAAACAAAGTTCTCCCTTTTTCATCTTTCTGCTCAGGTAAATGAGGGACCATATGTTCATACCTCTGGATAATATTTTTGTTAGCGTTGGAGTAGATTCACTCTTCTGGTGAAACTGCCAATGTTCAAGAAGACGCTAGGCGCTATCTAGGCGAGGAGGTACCGCCCAGCGCCCAGGCCGATTAATCGTTTCCTACGCGAGATTAAACGTTGAAAAAAAAAAAATGATAGATAAGCCATATTCCACAAAAACCCAAGTCGCTATATTTATTATTCATCCATTCATATTCACATACAACCCATTTCCACAATCCCAAACATCCCAAGTCGCCAACAATGAGGAGGGATCTCACTGCTGGTTTATGAGGGGGAGCGGCTGGTTGAATAGAAATGAGAAAAAGAATAGGGTTTAGGATTTTCACAAAAAGTCTACACTTTCCCCCTTTATTAATTGTTCTGGGCGTCGCCCACCAGAGTGAAAACACGCCGCCGAGTGCCTAGGTGCCTAGATCAATCGCCCAAGGCTAGGCGGGACGATTTTCTCCTGCCCAGATATTAATCGTGCCTAGGCGAGAGATTAATCGCGTCTTCTTGAACACTGGAAACTGCAAATCTGGTTTTCGTGTGATCACCACCTCTCGCGCGTTATAGCTTTTAATGTTTATTTTGGCCCAATTTAGTTCAACTATAAGATGTAAGAAACCCATACTAGGTTCAAATCTTGGACGCAGCATCATCTATGAAGAAAAGATATAGCATGACGATCTGTTGCATCCAAGAGCAAGCAATAAATATGCTTGGTGTTGGTTACTTCTTTGGGGCTGGTTTGTAAAACAATGAATTTTGACTAGCTTATGAGCTGACTTTTTGTTGCCTCAAAATCTTTCTTCTGTGAGCATTTTACCTCATTCCTGCTTCCTGGTCAGGGATTTGGCTTTAAAACTGATAGTTTGTGGTGTCGAAGAACTAACATTTAATTTACATTGTCAGCATCCGGGCTGGTGGTGTTGGAGTGAATCTTCAGGCTGCAGACACTGTCATCATATTTGACACGGACTGGAATCCTCAGGTTTTGAAGAGAACTAGACTTTGAATCTGGAGCATGCTAGTGCTTTTATAACTCCCACTTTCTTAATACCTTGTTCTGTTTGTATTATTAGGTGGATCTTCAAGCACAAGCTAGGGCTCACAGGATTGGCCAGAAGAGGGATGTGCTTGTTCTTAGATTTGAAACAGTATGACGCTACCTCCCCAAGCAAAACTGTGGCTTTTGTATCTAAATGTCGGCCTAAAGCATTATTGGGTTTTGATTAGTTCCCTCATTTTATTATTTTCATGTCTTAAGGTGAAAACTGTTGAAGAACAAGTCAGAGCTGCTGCTGAGCATAAACTGGGAGTTGCTAACCAGAGTATTACAGCTGGTTTCTTTGACAACAATACAAGGTGAGTTAGAATGCGTCATTTTAACTGTTTCTCCATAGAATCTTGCAATAGAAATTCCTGGTGGTTTAACTTAGGTACATTTCCATTGCTTAATTAACTTTTATGTTGCACAGTGCTGAAGATCGTAGAGAGTATTTGGAGGCCCTCCTGCGTGAGTCAAAGAAAGAAGAAGCTGCCCCTGTCTTGGATGATGATGCTTTGAATGATATCTTAGCACGCAGGTATTTATTGCTTACAGTTTGTTTTCATCTGTCACAGGATTGGAGGCATGGCTGTTAAAGCCATCCCTTTAGCTGAAGCTTCTCTTCGGCTGGCCTTAAGTAAAGGCACCGGAAGCCATGTGTTTGTTTCTTGTTTTGTTTGCTTTTGTCTTCGCTTTGGTTCGATGAGTCAGTTAAGTGCTTTTCATTATTGTGTTAAGGTGAATGGAAAAGTTGAAAATTAATTGAAAGCCATGGAGCTGTGTAATTCCGTGTGCAGAAAAAAAGAAGTGACCTAGCCGATTTTCCTTAAAACAAAACCATGATTTGAATGATTAAATTTATTAAGTTATATACTGTGAGCATGGACTAATGAACTTTAATGTTTATTCTGCACACATATCATAGGTTACTTTGTTATTGCTTGTTAGTGTGCCATGTCTTAGTACCTTGGTGTGAAGGCAGCCTTTATGCCTTAGTTCATCTTGTTTGATTATCTCCTTGGACTTTGTCTGTACCAAAAATTACTGATTGCGAACCTTTGCCTGCAGTGAGTCTGAAATTGATATATTTGAATCGATTGACAAACAACGGCGGGAACAAGAGACGGTATGATGCTGAAGTTTGCAGTTCTTGCTTGATACTTTATGGTGGCTAGACTTACTCGATTTCACATACCTGCAGGAAATATGGAAGAAGTTACTAGCCGGACAGGGAACAGATGTTCCTGAACCATTACCTCCCATGCCTTCTCGCCTGGTTTCAGATGACGACCTGACGTCATTCTTTGAAAAAATAAAGCTATATGATGTGCCAAAAGATGATGAGGCACCTAGTATCGGGACAAAGTGGAAAGGTCAGTCACAGGGTCTTGATTTTCAGCACTATGGAAGGGGCAAGCGGGCAAGAGAGGTCTGTTACCCAACTTCAATTTTGTTTTTGCTGTCTCTTAATGATCTGTTGGCTCCTTAATTAAGAGGCGCCTTGTTAAGTTATTTAAGTCGTTCTGTTTAGGTGCGGTCATATGAAGAACAATGGACTGAAGAGGAGTTTGAAAAGCTGTGTCAGGCTGACAATCCTGATTCCCCAAAACCAAAAGAGGAACAAGTCGAGATGAACCTCCCAAAAGATGCCAGTGTTTCTGTCTCGGTCATTGCTAGTCCAGAACCTACTGCTGCACCTACTGAACCAGAGTTGTTGCAGCATGTACTTCCACCACCGACTAGGGAGGTAACAATAACTCCATCTAAAAGAGGACGGGGAAGGCCAAAAAGATCAAATGTAACTCCGCCAGAGCTGTCAGTGCCAACTCCTGCTGGACTTGTCAAAGTAGATATGGGGTTACAGACAGGAGTTGATGGTAGTTCTTCTAGTACATTAGATCCTAATCCCTCTCCTGCACCAAATTTGGTCAGTGTTGGTACAATTGCCCCTCAAGCTGACACGGGCACTGCTTCCACACTCCAACCAACTATTCCTGTAACTTCTGGGCAGAGTTCACAACCTTCTCTGGTTTCTCCTTCAGTACCAATGGCATCAAGGGGCCGCGGCCGTAAGTCTCAACGTGGTGGATATACACCACGCGGTAGGGGAAGGAAAATGGGATTTGTGTCAGCTACTCCTGAGAGCATTGCATCTCATGCTCCCGTTATTGGTGAAGCTTCGCAGAATGTCTCCAACAATCCTGTAATCAATGCCAGTGGCGTCACAGCTTCTGGATATCCTGGTATAGCACCAGTTATTGCACCTGTTCAAGTGAGCAGTGCAGCACCCGATCAGTCTGGTTCACAGACTACTGTAGATACCGGTCCAGTCCCTCCTGCTGCGACATCTTTATCTATCCCTTCTGCTTCCACTCGGATCAAAGAACAGAGTCCAAAGGCTCAAAGTGGGACTGGAATTCCTCGACGCAGAGGAAGGAAACCTTCAGTTAAAGTTCCGCCTGATGTTCCAGTCATTTCAGCCGCTCAGATTTCACATATGAGCCTACCACCTTCAGTTCAAGTTCCACCTGCTGTTCCAGTTGTAGTAGACACTTTGGGAGGCAAAGCTGCAGTAGCTGGAAATGATCAAGGTAATGATTCCAATGAATCAACAAAAGGTGACCTGGGCCAAACACCCGAAGTAACTATTCCAGCTCAGGTGTCAAGCCAACATTCAGGTGAAGTGAGCCAACAGGATGAACCAACAAGCTCGGCCACCATGCACAACGCTGCTACTAGATCTATGCTAAGCCAACATTCAGGTGAAGTGACCCAACAGGGTAAGCCAACCAGCTTATCAACCACCATACATAATGCTCCTACATCTATTGCTAGATAGATGAAAAACTATTTGCCCCTTATGAGACTTGGTTTGCATGCTGAGTTTCGTGAACAATAACTATGGAATTGACAAATTGATACTAAAACAAAGTGTTTATGCAGGTTCTTCTCCTGTGAGAGATCAAACTGCTACCGTGTTTCATGCAGCCACCAATATTAAGGAGCTTCCTGTTGAAAGTAGTTCTACATCAAAATCAGGTGACCCCTTCAGAAAGGAAGGTGGTGTACATACACCCAGCAGGGCTTTCATTGATAGAGCTCAAAATACAAGCGCGGGAGGTAAAGAGTCTGCAGTTGTTGGTCCTTCATGTGAATCACAGCATGGCTCTGGTGTAGAAATTGGTCAGACTATACCAGAGTTGGTCGTGAAAAGTGCCTTTGTCTCTCAGCCAACCCCAGCTCTTTCTTCTGTAGGCTCAGTCTTTCAACCTGACCCACCTCAAGCAGGTCGAGGTAGAGGTAGAGGCAGAGGCAGAAAGGCGGCAGGCAGAACGGACGCCCCCAGGCGAAGGGGAAGAAAACCTACAGCTCCTCATCCTGCTGATTCATTGGGAGTTAAGACCATGTCCCTGAGGAACAGACAAGGGACCGAAGCTAAGGAGATCACACTTGCTGTACAGGTATGTGTAACTCTTCAGTCCTTATTGTAGGTAAGCTCATAAAACCTTGAACGTTCTAGCTTCTGCTCAAAAGTTCATCGTGCTGTATGTTTGTTTGATTATCCTTCCAGGAGACCCAGGTGGCTAATGCTTTTGTTTGTCAAGACTCTAAACAAAGGGAAAATACATCTTTAGGCCGGATTCAGACTGCAGATGTGACTGATGTTGCACGTGTGATGAAGGAGATCTTCTCTGAGTCTTGCTCATCTAAGGGTAAGAGTAGTGACTCTTCTAAAAGTGAATGTAAAAGCGCTGGCACACCTGTATCTTGTATGAAACCTTCACCAGTCACCGAAGGCCAAAGCTCTGGGGATAAAATTCATGGATCTGTGTCTTCCTCGCAAGAAGTCATTCCTGCTGAAGGAATCTCCCTTGACAAATTTGTCCAGTCTGTATCTGAAGTAGGTTTCAAGGTGGATAAGAGGAATCTGCCTGCTGTGGATGCTGATTCTGTGACTAATAATGACTCTTGCAAAGTTGAGACCAAGGTCGATTCATCTCTAGAATCTGCAGGTGTTGATAAAGACACTTCCAGAAGTAAGACAAATACCATTGTTCTTGGTATAGATGCATCCAGCAGTAGGGTTGTTTCAGTTGGACAATCTCAAGGTGTTGGGAGACACGTATCTTCCAGGGTTATATCGAGTAGTACTGTTGAACGTGCATCTACCAAGAAGGTTGGTTCACCTGTACAAACTCAAGGTGCTAAGAGGCCTCGCATTTCATATGATTCTGTTGATGTTGTTAATGTAAGCTTCATGCGGCCTCCTGAGTCTCCTCCTGATGCCTCCATAGAACCTAGCGGAGCTCATGGCACTGCAGAGCATCCCGAGAAGAATTCAGAAGACAAGACAGAAACTTCTGTAAAGTCGTTTCCAGAGTCTCAGGTTGAAGCTACTATATTAATTGAGAAGCATGGCAGCGAGGCTAATACCAGTGCTACTAAGTTCGATGATACAGTTTCTCAACCTGAAGATAATAGCGGCAGCATCCAACTGGATCAAGAAACTGGAAACCCGGAGAGTGAACCTGCCCCGGTGTTCAATGTGGAAGAACAACAGATATCAGCCGAGGAGACCGTGTTTTATGAATCTGCTAATGTAAAGAAGCATTGTGGTCCAAGTGAGTTGCAGTCACAAGTTGACAGTAGATTGCCTGATGATTTTACTTCTGAAACAACCAACACTGAGCTAAGTTCAGAAGATCATGTTGGAAATCAGCTTCAGCCAAGAGTTGCAGATCCTTCAGAACAGGTTGGTATTTGTTGAATGAGTGATTCAATTTGCCTCAGCTTTTGTTTCCTTGGAACCCCTTAGTCTCGTTTTGTTATAAAGGTTGTAGGTTGATTGTTGATTGTCTTGATTGCCCACTGTCTAATTACTTTTCCATATTTCATGTTTGATTTTGTTGTTCGTGCACTTGACAGCCACTTTATGATATTAATTTCCCTCACTAAACTTGCTTGACCTTTTATTTTGACCAATTTAACAGCTCTCTTTACCAGAAGATGCATTTGCCAAGGAGCAGGAGTTAAAAAGCTCTCGAGATGAGAGGCATCATCAACAATCGGCGGAGAGTCTGGTAGAAAGGTCAGTAGTGTCGGAAGACGTGCAAGGCTCTGACACTAACAAAGATCGTGGAATTGGTTTCTCTGGAACTGGTAGGTGTGTCTCACATGACCGATCTTCATCTAGTAAGTCAAAGGATTCAGTTATTTCGGAAGATGTGCAAGGCTCTGATGCGAACAAAGATTGTGAAGTTGGTGACTCTGGAACTGCTAGGAATGTCTCTGATGATTACCATTTATCTAAAGAGTCAAAAGAGTCATTTGTGTCAGAAGAAGTACAAGGCTCTGACGCGAACAAAGATTGTGAAGTTGGTGTCTCTTTAACTGGTAGGAGTGTTTCAGATGGCCTTCCTTCATCTAGAGAGTCAAAAGAATCAGTCATGTCAGAAGAAGTGCTCGGCTCTGATGCTAACAAAGATTTTGAAGCTGGTGTCTCTGGAACTGGTAGGAGTTTCTCTGATGAACTTCCTTCATCTAGAGAGTTGAAAGAATCAGAGTGTAAAATTAATGATGAAGTAGCACTGGGAGAAGAAACCATGGCAGCCTCTCCCTCCGGGTCTAAGGAAGGAATTCTTTCACCTGAGAGACACGACCTTCCTTCATCTAGAGAGTTGAAAGAATCAGAGTGTGAAGTTTATAAACGAGTAGCATTGGGAGAAGAAACCTTAGCAACCTCTTCCTCTGTACCCAAGGAAGGTACTCATTCACCTGAGAGACATCTACATAGCAGCAACTCTAGAGAAGATTGCATAAGAACCCTATCTGAAACAGGTAAGTGTCTGGCATTTATCTAGGATAGTCTTGAGCTTGATTGTACGTGAACTAACCCAGCTTCTTATTTATCCCTGATAGGAGTGCAAGGTTTGGACACAAAAAGTCCGGCTCCTGAGAAGAATGTAGGTAGCACCGTAACGGAGGAGGGACTACAGGGGCCTAATTCTTCAGAAGGTGGATTGGATACAAAAAGTTCGTCTCCTGAAACAAATGCTGATAGCAACTTAACCGCGGAGGAGGGACTACATAGACCTAATTCTAAAGAAGATGAATTGGATACAGAAAGTTTGCCTTCTGAGAAGAATGTAGATAGCAACTTGGCAGCAGAAGAGGGACTACAGGGACCTAATTCTACGGAAGATGAACGGATGACCGAAGTGGAGAGTAATGTGATTGCCCTCACAGCTGCAAAGGAGACAAGTTCACCTTCACCATTGGTGGAGGAAGGAAAGATTGATGACTCATCTTCTAAGAGCCCTTGTGGTGAGAAGTTGGCACCAGAACTGGAGGAAACTAGAAATGATGAGAGTGGTAATGATGTGGTAGTAGCCATTCCTAATGAACCTGACTCTAATGATCCAGTGATGATGGAGGGAAAGATTGATGACTCATCTCCCAAGAGTCTTCTTGGTGAGAGGCTGGCAGAGGGACTGGAGGAACCTAGAAATGAGGATGGTAATGATGTGGTAATGGTCTCTCCTGATGACCCTGATTCTAAGGATCCAGTGGAGGAGGAAAATATTGATGCCTCATCATCTAAGAGTCCTCGTGATGAGAGGCTGGCAGAGGAACTAGAGGAACCTAGAAATGAGGGTGGTAATGATGTGGTAAAGGCCATGCCTGATGACCCCGACTCTGAGGATCCAGTGGAGGAAAGTATTGATGAGAGTCGTCATGGTGAGAAGTCGATGGAGAAATTGGAGGACCTTAGAAATGAGGAGGGTGCTGATGTGGTAGTGGCCATGTTTGATTACCCCAACTCTAAGGATACAGTGATGGAGGAAAATATTGATGATTCATCTTCTAAGAATCTTCATGGTGAGAAGTCGGTGGCGGAGCCGACAAATGAAGAGGGTGGTAATGATTTACTTTTGGTCACGGCTGATGACCTGGACTCTAAGGATCCGCTGATGGAGGAGGGAAAGATTGATGACTCATCTTCTACCAGTCCTCATGGTGAGAAGTTGGCAGAGAAAATGGAGGAGCCTATAAATGAAGAGGGTGGTAATGATCTGGTGGTGTCCACGGTGGATGACGGGAAGATTGATGGTTCATCTTGTGTGAGTCCTCATGGTGAGAAGTCAGCAGAAAAACTGGAGGAGCCCAGAAATGAAGAGTGTGGTAATGGTATGGTAGTGGCCTCGGCCGGTGACCCTGACTCATATTCTAAGAGTCCTCATGGTGAGAAGTCGGTGGCGGAGCGGACAAATGAGGAGGGTGGTAATGATTTACCGTTGGTCACGGTTGATGACATGTACTCTAAGGATCCGTTGATGGAGGAGGGAAAGATTGACAACTCATCTTCTAACAGTCCACATGGTGAGAAGTTGGCAGAGAAACTGAAAGAACCTAGAAATGAAGATGGTGGTAATGATCTGGTGGTGGATAACCCTGACTCTACGAATACAGTGTCAGAGGAGGGGAAGATTGATGACTCGTCTTGGGCGAGTCCTCATGGTGAGAAGTCAGCAGAGAAACTGGAGGAGCCCAGAAATGAAGAGGGTGGTAACGATATGGTAGTGGCCTCGGCTGATGACCCTGGCTCTAAGGATCCAGTGGTGGAGGGAAAGATTGATGACTCATCCTCTAAGATTTCTCATGGTGAGATGCCGACAGAGGAACTGGAGGAGCCTAGAAATGATGACAGTAATGACGTGGTAGAGGAAAAGGGAGAAATTTATGACTCATCTTCTAAGAGTCCTCATGGTGAGAAGCCTGCAGGGGAACCTAGAAATGACGACAGTAATGATGTGGTAGAGAAGGGAAAGATTGATGACTTACCTTCTAAGAGTCAAGGTGAGAAGCTGGTAGAGGAACTGCAGGAACCTAGAGATGACGACAGTAGTGATGTGGTAGTGGAGGAGGGAAAGATTGATGACTCACCTTCTCAGAGTCCTCGTGGTGAGAATCCAGTAGAGGAACTGAAGGAGCCTATAAATGACGACAGTAATGATGTGGTAGTGGAGGAGGGAAAGATTGATGACTCATCGTCTAAGAGTCCTCATGGTGGGAAGCCAGCAGAGGAACTGGAGGAACCTATAAATGACGACAGTAATGATGCGGTAGTCGAGAAGGCAGAGATTGATGATTCACCGTCCAAGAGTCCTCATGGTGAGAAGCCGGCAGAGGAACCTAGAAATGACGACAGTAATGATGCGGTAGTGGAGAAGGCAAAGATTGATGACTCACCGTCCAAGAGTCCTCACGGTGAGAACCCGACAGAAAAACTGGAGGAACCTAAAAATGATAACAGTAATGATGTGGTAGTGGAGAAGGCAAAGATTGATGACTCATCGTCCGAGAGTCCTCGCGGTGAGATGCCGGCAGAGGAACTGGAGGAACCTGGAAATGACGATAGTAATGATGTGGTAGTGGAGAAGGCAAAGATTGATAACTCACCATCCAAGAGTCCTCACAGCGAGACGCCGGCAGAGGAAGTGGAGGAACCTAGAAAAGATAACAGTAATGATTTGGTATTGGAGAAGGGAAAGATTGTTGACTCATCTTCAAAGAGTCCTCATGGTGAGAAGCCCGCAGAGGAATTGGAGAAACTTGGAAATGAAGACAGTAATGAAGTGGCAGTGGAGAAGGGGAAGACTGATGACTCAACTTCTAAGAGTCCTCGTGGTGAGACTTCGGAGAAGGC